ATTTTATAAATATTCTAAACCAATAAAAGTAATACCTGACTGTTTAGCAGAGGGATCTGCAGGGCCTTCTGGCTGTGGATAGTCTGCTGGTGATTCCATGTTTTTGGATAGGGTTGCTGCAGGATTTGAGAACAGATAAACCACAAGTATAAGTCGTCATTTGCACTGCTGAGACACGTGGAAAAGTAATGGATTTTGTCAGGTTGTATTCACATGATTAAAGTTCAAAGTGACGCTGTAAAGAATCGCGTCTGTCAATGAATCGCATGCAATAAGGAACTTTGTTTTCACCAATCTTTGAAATACTCAAAACTCCTCAAGTGTTCTAATTTATAGCACTTAAGAAGACATTTAATACTAAACAAAAAGCCAAACTAAACAGAACAACCTTTGCTCAACTTCCCCGGGTGACATTACACCATAATATATGACAGCTAACTCATTGCAAAGCTAATAGCTGCTAGCACACTGCAAATAAAACAGGAATCATTTACTTTGTTCATTGGATTTGAACAAGGCATTCTCGACATAAATTAGATACATGCTGTAGGTACGAGCTGCCAAATAAAAGGCGAGAAAATCAGAAACATGACGCGACTCAGCTAAGGTGGCGAGGGCTAAGAAGCTTGCTAGTGTTAGCAAAGCTAACTGATTTAGTCAATGATCATAAAACTTTGGTATATTAAAAGAACCTCTTAGCTATTAAAAACGAATAAGCGTAACTGATACACGATTACCAATTCATAGAAAAGCCTCCACCGATAACATCTCCGTGGATTAGAGGGAGTCCTTATCCTTCGGTTTGGAGTTTCACTTTCAACTGTTTACTCCCAGAGCGGAACGTACAGCAAAGCCCTTGTTTCTAGAACGGAAGACCGTTACAGTCATACAACTCAACGGGTCCTGACCTGAAACGTTTCCCCAGCAACAAATCAGGGAAGTTTACGCACAGACTGACTGCTATCCGTTTCATGTCATGATGTTTCACTTTTTTGTTTAAATTTTTGCTGATTTGAGGCTACATCCCATCGATTTGAGACCGAGAATGGATTCAAAGGCGGCTAAAAATAAGGCTCCGGGCCAATTGAGACGGTCGTTAAGGCAGACGGGGAAAGGTGAGCAAACTGACAGTGATGCTCATTAGCTAGCTTAGCTTCATAGCTCTACTGTAATTGGAAGTCAAAGTTGGAATTACTGTTTTAACTAATGTTTACTATTTAATTAAAATAAATCAAAATTAGTCCCCGAATCTGAGGTTAAATTAACAGTTGTGAGCGACTTTTAAATTTCATTTTCGGTTTTATTTTCGCGCAATAAACAACTTTCTGTTAACCACGACAAGGTGAAATAGAAACTGTCTTTCGTCCGCAGTGTATCCCTATCAATAGACAAAACAGAGGGCATATGTACGGAAGGGAAAATAAGTAACACATTATTATCGTATTTATAATCACCTTTAATACATTTTTCTTTATAAGTCTGTTATTGTTATTATTATTATTGAAATAATAACCCTTAGAAATCAAGTTTATGCAGTTGTTTATTTGAAATTTGATTTCTTTTTTTACTCTTTATACTCTTATTTTTCTGACTGTAAAATACTACTGCCGACAATAACAATATTAATAACCATTCTTTAAGTAAGAATGACCATTGATAACTGTAATGCTTTTTAGTTCATTTTCATTTTATGAATTAGACATTAGATCCAGTCTGATTGACACCTTACATCATGTTAAAAGGAGTGTAGGGAGCATTACCTCTCCAAGAATTATTGCACAAATTGTTGTCATAAGTTTTGTTGAAGGCCTTTCTCTACCTGTTAAACACTAAGAGGTGCCACGTGGCAGTGTAATTGTTTTTCTTTTCCTCTGCAGTACTCGGCGTTGAGCCAACTCCAAGGGGTCCTCTGAAAAGGACCAGAAAGACGTCAGAACCTCAGTCGTCACCAGCAGCTAAAGGTGCAAAAAATGTGGAGAACGGGTTGGATGAGGAAGGTGGGATGCTCTAATTTGCAATTTATTTCCTTTAGATAAAGTAACTAAGACCACCTTTAATTATGGTGCTCAGCTGTGGCTTAAATTGTTATTGAGCAGAGTCTCCTCCCAAGAAGTACCGGTTGGATGCCGGAGAGGGACATGATGACAACCTTAGTGATGATGACATGGAGGTCCAGGAATCAGTCAAAGACACAGAGAACGGTGAGGACCTGGAAATGGATGTGGTTGAGGAGCCATTAAAAGAGACCAGTCAACCAAAAACATACAAAGGTAAGGACTGCATTTAATAAAAATCTATAAAGTGTTAATAGTTCTTAACTGCACCTTGGAAGACAAAAGAGTTAAATGAACCCTCTGAGATAATTAAGATTATGATTATTAATTTATTTTTGTTATTATATTGCATATTATTATATGCATTGATTTCCCAGTTTTTACAACTATAATAAATCAAAACTGAACATAGTTTATGTCTTGTGTTTCTATATGCAATTTTAATGGATTTTACTGTGTTTTTTTTCCCCTCTGTATAAAACAGACCACTATGAATTTGTGAACCTTTCCCCTCGCGTCGTCCTTCATAAATCCAACCCCCCCCTTTCTCCATATGAAGATTCGCAAGGAATGAAGACTAAAAAAGGTTTGAATATTTTGTGTTAAAGACTGCAAGATGAAACGGTTTGACTATTTTATTTCTGTGTTTGCAGGTAAAGTGTTACATTTGGGGAGGGAAAAATAAATGTATGGTCCTTAACTGATTTTGATTGTTTTCATTTTGAAGCTGAAGTAAAAGCACCTTCACTGCCCAACAAGGCTCATTCACACGTCAAACCAGCAGAAACCAGGCCTGCCATGCCGATCACCAGCATGGATGAGTATAAGAGGAAAATGGAGGCCAAAGCCAGGAGTGCAGGTACTCTGTATTTTCTATGAGAAAGTTTATGTTCACAAAGCTACACTGAGCAAAATTTTATTAGATTTTTTTTCTGTTTTTTCTTTTTTTTTTTTTTTCGTCAAAAACGAAGCCACGTCGTCTCTGGTTGTACCCAGACCTTACCAAGTCTCTCAACGTGTAAACTCAACTTCGGAGAAAATGTACCTAACCAAACCACATGTAAACAACATTCCTGATCAAAAAAAGGCAGATCAGCTGACAGAACAAGGTATTTTAGTTTAAACAAAGAAGAAAATCTGATGACATTGCAAGGTTTTTCCACACTGACACTGGATTTTCTCTTTTCTTTTTTTTTTTTTTTAAGATGGAAAAAAGAAAACGGCCGGGACTGAGATAAGCTCCGGAAATTCTTGTAGAGGTGGTATAAAGATTTATTAGCATTATCGACATACTCATTACTCTGTGCAGTGCCATTTTAATAAAAATACTTTATTGATCCCAAGTGGAAATAAATGCTCTCCTATCATTGCAGGGTTTTTTTGGTATTTATGGCGCTTGCTTTTGTTGGTGCTGCTCAGCTCTGCCACCCTGCTGGCTTACCGGATCCTCCCTGTGCTCCAGAGTAAAGCAGGAGGGGGAGGAGGGCAACGATCCCGAGAAGCGATGCCAGAAAGGTTTTCTGACAGCTTGTCGCTCCTCCAGTCTCAATTCCCGAGTCAGCGTGAAGAGCTGTGGAGGAGAATCCAGATCCACCTGGAGAAGCACCTTAAAACCGCTGAGCCCACCGAGCCAGTGAGTCTGATCTTGGTAGCAGGTCTCAAGGCAGAGAGGACTCTGCTGTGCTTGGCTCGGGGCCTGGCCTCCGCCTACTCATCCGCCCTCAACGGCTCTGCCTTCCTCATTGACGGGGTGAGTAAAGCCGGCCAGGACAGCGACAAGGTAAAGCTGGACGTCGACAAGCAGCTGCAGGCGGCTTTCGAGGGAGACAAGCCAGCGGCGGTCATCCACCGCTTTGAGGAGCTGCCTCCGGGCTCCACCATCATTTTTTACCGTTACTGTGATCACGAGACCGCCGCCTACAAGCAGGCGTTCCTGTTGTTCACCGCGCTGCTGCCGCAAAACGAGATCGGCAGTGAGCTGAACCTGAATGGGGTGGAGGAGCTGGTGCAGAGCCACGTGGAGGCAAAGCTGGTGGACCCCGAAGGCAAAGCCTCCTTCAATGAAATGGATATTGACAAGTTCGGCGGGCTGTGGAGCCGCATCTCCCATGTGATTCTGCCTGTGGTGTCTGAGGTGAACCAGGAAGAATGCCAATGAGTTATTTTTTTGTTTTATGTTTTTTTAAGGATGCAATGATATGGGTACTATGACCAGATATACCACAGAAATTTGTCTTTTTAGACACGTTTTACACACAGATTTCCTTTAAAATGTTTGAAGGATGCATTGACAGCTCTAACAGAGATGAAAACCTACTGAAGTTGCAGTTTTTTTCCCCTCTTTTAAAGATCAGATCTAACATCATTTCACTTGACGTTGACACATACAGGATGTTTTTCCACTCGATTTTGTTGTAAACAACAACTTCTCCTTTTGTTTTGTCCCTTTTTCTGAAGCACTTTTTCTTCAGCAACAATCACATAGAATTCATCTTTAAAGTTAACAAATGTTACAAGTTTCTGTAGATCTGCTTTTCTTATATTTCAAATCTCAGAGATGAGCTGACTAGACATTCAAGGAAGTTTGACTGATGTGCACTGAACATGTGTGTTTGCTTTAAGCGTTCTCCTTTTCCAGAATACTGGATTTTACTAAAACAAGCATTTTTTTGTGTGTGTGATTTTTCATCCTAAGATGTATTTTGTTGACGTGCTTTGAAGATTTGCTTATTTTTTAATATCTGTACATATATATATATACTGTATGCTGGATATGAAAAGGATCAAAATGCTAGGAATCCTGTTTAAATGAGGTAGATTTAAAAACCTGCAGGTTTATATGAGGTTTTTTTTTTTTTTTTTGTAAAAATATTTTTGGATTGAACATGTCGGACACAAAATGTGCCTTAATCACACAGGAACTATTTAATAACCCCAATACCGATAATCTGCCTGATACCGTAGCAGGATGGCATCACAACTGTGGTGTTTTCTCAGAAGTGTGTCCAAACAGTACTTAATTGATGTTTAATATAGGTTTTAATTCTTGTCTTTCAATTCTGTTGTATTATCTCTCTGAGATCAGTTTTTTTGTTTATTACTCATATGAATGTTTGAATATTTTCAATAAAGATTATTTTGATATTGAATAAGTTGTCTAAAGCTTAAATTAGTTATTAAATAGTTTATTTCAGCAATTCAGTTAAAAAATGAAAGTGGTGTATAGATTCAAACCACACAGAGTTACATCTTTCAAGTATTTATTGTCAATTAGAATATTATGGCTTAAAGACAATAAGCTTTAAGCCAGTTTAAAGTTTAAACTGGCTTAAAGTAAAAAAATTAAAAGTTCTTTAAATTCTTAAAAGTCACTACTCTTTTAATAATGTAAATATCTAGTGAACTTCATAAAATAGATGACATTATGATGAAAAGAACATCTGAAGAGATCAGCCATGAAGTTAAAGGTCAACGCAAATGAAGAAGGTCTAATTTGAGATGCAGCTGTAGCTGTACTAATTACAATAAAAGATGTTGCTGTCAAATAAAGGCGTACTCTGCTGATGGTTGCTTTTTTAAAACCATAAGAGGCACTTTTTTTATTTTCTGTTAAATGAAAAATAGGGAAAGACTTCAGTCTTGAAACTAGGATGTAATGGCTTAACAGCAGAGGAGCAGATTAATCATTTACAACATATCTCACACGCACACAAACACACACACATGCACATGTTTGCTTTGTGGGGACTTTCCATTGACTTCCATTCATTTCTACAGCCTAAACTTTACCCTTATCCTAGCCCTAACCCCACCCAAAACTCAATTCACACCGTATAGTCCTAAATCTAACCCATGACCCAAAAAACAGCATTCCCCCTTGTGGGGACCAGGCTTCGGTCCCCACGGAGCAGTGGGTCCCCACAACGTCGTATGTGTCAGGAAAATGGTCCCCATGAGGTATTACAAACGGACAGAAACACACACACTTTTACACACTGAGATCACAAGACAGAAGCACTGGGTCTTTTGACTGACATGTTTCCATGGCAGCAGAATTACACAATCAACATCTGCCCCAATATGTGAAAAACCTGCAGGATTTGTGAGAAATTAGGAAGTTGAAGACAGTTTAGAAGATGTCTCTTCCTGTTAGTTGATGTTAATAACTGAGTGAATCATTGGACATTCATCAATATAAATGCTGCTTTCTTATTAAATAAATATAAAGTCAGGAGTATTGTGTTTTGAAATAAGAAACAGAACATACATCTGACTATTGAAAGCTTTGAACAAAGCACTAAAGAGTTCAAAGTTTCAACAACAGGCTGACCTATTTAGTGAAAAGTCAATAAAGCTGTTTTACGACATGCTCTTCAGGTTACTCTAATCTCACTCTTTGCTATTTCTGACTGTGATAACCGCTCCACTTTCTTCCATATGTGATTTAGTGAGATATTTCTTGCATGCAGCTACTCATGAACAGCTTTAAAAGAGGAAAAAAAAGGGAGCATATGTTCATATTTTTGAATGAACATATGCTATATTCTTCTCAATATTCTTCATAGCCCACATTTATTTGCACACCCGGTGAACATGTGGAAAAAGTTGTAAAAGTTGACTTTAACATATCTAAAAATTGTATTTGTAGTCTTCTAAACATACAGATTTTTTGTGAGAAAAAAAAATCCCAATTATAATTTGCTTTTACAAGTTGAACAGAGAACATATAAATATTAAACAGTATTTCAATTCTCATAATCTCTCTTTACAAAGGGAAAGATATAAGCATGCCATTTCAGTAAGACACATAATGTTGATCTTCAGAAGTGAAAAGATCAACAATATCTGTCTTGTATGCTCTACAAAACATATTTTGTCATTACAAAACCATAAGAAAGCAAGTAAGAAAGTAAAGGAAACAATAATAAAAAAAAAGTCTGTCACAGAACTTTTAATTTATGTAAAGTTATATTCTGACTTCTTTATCAGGGGTGTGGATAAGTCTCAATGGTACTTTAGAGTATATTAACTCATCTGCTTCAGAAATAGTCAACAAAGATTAGTACTGACAGAGATGTGCTCAAAACCATGAGGATAACAGAGCAGAGTATAACAACCACTCCTTTTGGTGAGAGATGCTCCTGAACCCCAGAAACAGATATGAAAAAAAAACAAAAAACTTTAGTATTGTAAAGTAAAACATGTGTAAGTATTCAAATATTCAAAGCAGAGCTGTTTTACCTTCTTTCCTTTATGATGCTGATTATGTTTGGCCTTATCGAAGACAGAAACTGTAATGAAAGTTGTCCATTTTCATGTGAATCCACAACATCTAGCAGTATGTTATTAATGCTGCTTGAGAGACAGACAAATTACTCACCGCTTTTTTTCTGTAGTAATGTTTTCTTCTTGGCGCAGAGCACAATATTCCAAACTATTGTCAGGGCTGTCTGAACAGTCAGAAGCCAAAACACTCTCGTAGTTTTTCCCCAGTCCTCAAACAAGCTGTTGATGCTGACATAGAGAAAAACGTCTGTGTGTGGAAATTTGAAAATGTGTTAGGCCATATATAATCCAGGTTGACTGTGCTTTACATTTTATTTTAGCTTTTATGATGCTTAATCTTTCATATTTAAAAAAGCCACTGCGACATTGGAAATGTTCTTTGGATCAACTAAAATCACACAGAAATTTTAAATAAATGACAAAGTTCGCCATTTCTAATAATAACAAATTTGATAAATGTATGGAAAAAGTTATACTTCTTTAAAAGTTATGCAGATTTAGATAGTGTGCAGTAAGAATAAATCAACTCTCAAAACTACGATATGTATCAAAAATAATTACACTTATGGCCTCCTCCATAATTATCATCAGTGAAAAGTTGTATAAAAGCCTTAAAATGATTGGGATTTTCTCTTGTGTTTTCCATTGTGAAACTAGCAACAAATGAAACTGGCTTATGTGTCAAATCCACCAAAGTAGGAAGTAATAACTTGTTAAACGTTGCTTGACAAATTAAGTTGCACTCATTTAAAGGTTATTGTTATATTCTACTAGCGATTTTATTCCAAATATTCCAATTTATAATTTATATCCCCACCAAATGATTTCACATCATGCTTTACAGCCAGATTAGCTCCTGAAATAGCAAAACAAATATTTTAAGGTGTTTCACGCTGCTTTACCGCAGGCGCAAATGATTTGAAGGTTGCTGTAATTCATTCATGGCCAGTGATTTACCAGCTACATGAGAGTAATGCTATATTTTTACACCAGCAATTGTTAAAGATTACTCCAAATGTCCAACTGTAATACAATATTGCTTTTTTTTCTATAAAAGTAAAATAAACACAAAAGACATTTGGGTGATATGAGACTACTTACTTATGAAAACTTGATGGAAGACAAAGCACACACAAAGAGCACAGTCAACGACATCATTTCTTAAACAAAGAAATTAAGCGAACAGTGGTTAGCTGGTGAATGTTCAAGATAAAGTCAAAGTGAAAATATTTTGTGCAGGAGGAAGGCTTTAACTCACAGCTCGTGGCTTGGTCCTAAAGGCAGCATTGCAATGATCCACTCTATGGAACTAATCACCAGCACAACACTCACAAGGCCAATAATAATATCCTAAAACAACAAAGTTTGCACAAGCAAAAAGAAGCTGTTTATGATCAAGAAATGTCCTTACATGTCACAGTGCTGCATCAATGATTAGTACTTACTTCGGAGTTGTATATCAAAGATAAAATTAATGTTGCCAAGGAAAACAAAACAGAAAGTGAACTGCCCATAATCCTGAACTTCTACAAAGAAACACAAAAATAAACACATTTTATATATCGAAATACTTGGAGTCTTGTTTAACTCCAAAGTTTTGACATGTTCAGCATCACTCAGTGAAATTCTTTGATAACTTTTTTTCCCTCCTTCACATCTAATTTGATTGTGAAGTGATCCAAATTTGGGACATCACCAATTAGCCCAGGGACAGAAAACACACCTCTTTTGTCTGTAGCAGTAGTAATGAGGTACATGCAAAAAAAACTGAGTGAAATAATCAGATAATGTCCAAATAGGAATGCAGATGAACAAACAAGACTCACAAAAATAATCTATAAACATATAGATCAAGATTACATAAAAACCCAAATGCTTGGAAGCAAAACACAAAACACCTGTAAAGTAACAGTAATGGATGAAAACATATTTTTAACTTATACATACTTTTTCACCTGAAATTTATGCAAGTCACAATTATAATAATAGTATTTTGGTGGCAGTTTTCCTAATTTTGACACCCGGCTTAGAGCAACTACTATTACATGAGCTATCAATTTAAAAGATTACAAACATTGACATGTATTAAATCCAGAAGCAGTAAGAACTTACACCAAAAATCCATCAATTCATGTCTTACCTTACATAAGTCATGAAAAAACGATGCTGTGAGATGAAAGTTATGACAGAACGATGTTGTGAGCTGGACAGCCATAATTATGATAGGTATTTGCTGATGAGACACAGGGAAGGAGCATTTTACTTTTGTACAGTTTGTTTGGTGTCTTCAGACGAACATCACAGCATAAATAAATGGCTTATCATGGTTTCATAATGTCTTGAAGATCACTCACCATGCTCATCTCCGCTAGAGGACTTGCCACGCAAATCAGTAGAATATTTGCTGTCTAGAGTGAAAAAAAAAATGGTTAAGAATACTCTCATTCTGGAAATACTGCAAAAAATCTGATTTACCTCATTTGTTGTTTTGTGTGTAGAGGTTTTATTACTCTGCACTGTTATAATTACATCTTTTGTTGTAGGTATTTGGGTTGTAGTTGTTGCACCAGTTGTTGCTGCTCCAGTTGTTGCTGCTCCAGTTGTTGTTGCTGCTCCAGTTGTTGTTGCTGCTCCAGTTGTTGTTGCTGCTCCAGTTGTTGTTGCTGCTTCAGTTGTTGT